TACTATTCTGGTCCATAACATTATGTATATAAAATTTGGATTTATCATTTCTCTATCAACTTAAGATAAAATTATCTCTATCAATCTTAAACTACATTTTGGATTGAGAGAATTAATGAAGGATATTTTAAAAAATTTGATTTATTTATTGTTATATAAATTTTATCGAAATACCCTTCATTAATTTTTTCAATCCCTAAAACAATGTAATTTTGAGATTGATAAAGATAAATTTATCTCGTATTATGGAGAAACGATAAACCATGAAATTTAGTACACATCCCAAAAATAAATTAGTAATGGATATATTATCGGGAAAAGATATTCTACTCTCTTTTTTCATGTCTACATTGTCTACCACTCTTCAATATCTTTATATCAGAATCTCAACTAAAATTTATTATTTCTCTCTTCTCTTGAGATTCTGATCTAACGGTACTAGAATTTGATAGGCATAAAAAAAATAGGTAAAATAATTTATCCCTATATTATCACACTAATTATGGCCCATATTGGTGCATACCACTAGCTATCTCTCTTTTTCTTTTTGCATGGCCAAAAAAGATGTTACTAGTTGACCACTTTCCTTTCCACCAAAATATTAGGGGTGTACATGGGTCAAATTGAATCAAATTTTTTGAAAAACTGAACCGAATTGGTTTAAACGGTTCAGTTCAAGAATGATTCAGTTCGGTTCAGAACCGGTTTGGGTCGACTCTATTATGAAAAGAAAAAAATTAAATAATTAAATAAAAAAGAATAAAAATCAATTTGGTTTGATTCGAAAACGGTTCGATTCGGTTCTTGAACCGGTTCTTTTAAAATCGGTTCGGTTCATAAACTGATTTTTAAAAATCGATTATTTTATATATAATTTAATTTGGTTCATGATTCGGCTCAATTTTTTGATTATTTTGCGGATCCCTACAAAATATTACATATATTGCTCTAATTAACCGGAACAAAGCATATAACGTGGTCTATGCCCGCAACTATTGATGCGTGCACTTTTTGTTTTTTTGCTTTTTTATATTATTTTTAGGGTTTGTTTTTTCTGCTACTGCAGATAAGTTATCTGCCGTAAGCCCAATACGACGTTGTTTTGAAGCAGAAATTATAGTATTTTTGTAATTTTAATTTATTTCAGGGTTATTATAGTCTTTATAATTATAATTTTTTAATTTTTCAATCTCAAAACGACGTCGTTTTAAGAATAAATGCAGATAACTTATCTTCAGTAACTGCAGAAATATTTTTCAGTTATTTTTATCTCAGAGAGAATATATAACGTTTCTATGAATAATGACTGAACAAAATGAAAGAAACTTATACAGCTCTATGTATACACCACTTGCAAAGTTTCTTAATTATCTTTGAAAAAAACAAGTTGCACAAAACCCTCTAATTTACCAGCTGGAGATCATATTGATAAAGTTAGACTATTTCTCTTTTTTTACAGGAAAAGTGTTTGTTATTTTAAATGATATAACTTATATCATTTTACTCTCACAAAGAAGTGAGACTCACACATTTATTTTTTTTGGTACATTCTCTCTCCCCCTTTATTTATTTATTTCTCTCACTTAAAATGATACAACTTTACATCCTTTAAAATGATACACACTTTTCCCTTTCCTATTGAATCTGATTTTAATTTACTGCTTTAACAAAATTCCCTTGCATTATTATTTAATTATGTATAATCTAATCACTGAAAGAGTTTAACTTTTGCAACAATAATATGTAGAGAGTTAACGCTTCTAATTATGGGTCAATTATTGTTTCTATAATTTCTTTTTCTTTCATACTTTAAATTTTCTCCTCGTTCAAACAATTAAATATTTCAAATTATAAAAATTATTTATTCTCTATTTATCTCTCTTACTCTCTTACTCTCTTACTCTCTTTTTTTATTGTCTTTGTCCAATCATTCTCATTTTTTTATAGTTTGATAGTGATTGCTTTTAGGATACTAAAATTGCTACTCCTAAGAAATGTATCTAGCTGCATGATCAAGTACTCATTGGAAATAGCGAAAGTTACTTTAACTGCTACCATAAATTCTAGCGAAAGTTACTTTAACTGCTACCATAAATTCTTACTACTAATTTACTACCCATCACATTACTATGAGATCAAAGAGAGAGAATGTTAAAAAGTTTTTGAAGAGAGAGAAAATGTTAATTTAATGATGATTAGATAGGTAGTAAGTTGGTAGTAAAAATTTTTGGTAGTGAGAATATCCCTCCTCCCTAAAATATATCTAAAGGAATGAACCCATCAAATTATTGAAAAATAAAATATTTTCTTGACACTACACTTAAAATATGCCGATTAACAATGGTAAATTATTCAATAACCTGTATTAAATAACGGACTAATAAATGCTTTTTTTAAAAAGAAAGTTAATTCGTTAAACAATTAATTTATATTATTAATCAATAATACACTCGTCATTAATTAGTATATATGTCGTCATATATTGGATTGCAGATGTAAAAATAATAGAACTGTCAATGAATAGAAAATATATATTTTTCTCCTAAATAATATTATTTTTTACAAAAGGATTTATTAAAACAAAATAATATTTATAATCAATTGAATGCCGCTTCACGCATTCTTTAACTGATTTGTTGAAAAGAAAATGATTTATGCTGATGTCAGCTATTCGAGCATAAGAAGGAGTCCCTAATGGAGGATAACACTTCCTGAATACACATAAGATATGGAGAGCACAAATAGCAGTAGCTTGTGACTATCCAATAAGCTCCCGTCTCCCAGGGAGGTGAAATTTTCATAGTCGATTACATACGTTGGCTCTTAACGTGTATCTATGACCATTTCAAATCTCTTTATGATTAATATTTTCTTTGAAAAAAAGAAAAAAGAAAACACTTCATGAGTGAATATACTCATGAAGTACAAATTAATACTCCATCACGGGATCACCAAATTAACTTGTCCTCATCGTTAATTAAAGTATTGATTAATTTTATAGTCATATATACTGACTGGGATGAGTCAAAGAACTCATAGCCACTTCAACTTGTACTTTTCAGGCTCAGTTGTCTTTCACTTTAGCGAATCAACACTAGCATATATTATAATACAATATGAGAATGTAAATTAACTAAATCATGAGAAAGTGATCCCCGATAATCAAAATCGATATCAGCCTACATATGCTGAAGACCGTTCAAATTGCATGTTCCTATTATTCTGGTGTGTGAGAGATAGAAAGAAACAGATATAGAGTGTTGTCTTAATCAGGATTATTATTTCCGGATACGTAATAAGATTTTCGAACTACTTGTAGAACTTTTTCGGAACAAAGTACCAAACAAAATTAAGGAAGAGTAGATAATGAAACATCTTTGTTGAAATAGAAGTTAGGCAATAGCTATCTAAGCTGGATTGGACCGACAATGAACCGGCCATGTTATAGCTGCATTGCCATTGAGAGCACTAGTTATATTAAGCCAAGCAATTTTGACAGCACTTGTTTGTTATTTTTGTGGCTGAACTGAAAGCCACCACAGGGCCAATTTGCATTTGCGATTTCCACTCGGATCTAAAACCAATCTTAAGGCATTATTTCCCAACTGAACTCCCACATGCATGTATTAAAAAAATTGAGCGGAAAAAAAAGAAAGAAGAAAGAAAACTGTGAGTGACATTACTATGCAATTGGGAGTTCACCGCATATACAGCTGTGATACAAATGGGACTTATTTTATTCTCTACTTTTTAGGAGATAATAATGTTTAAGGGTGGTTGTATGTACTTTTTTTATAAATTAATTTCATATTGGTTTAACTCTTACATAAACTAATTCGTTAATTTATTAGTCGAAAAACTCAAATTAATTTAAGATTGTAATTGATGGGTGATTTATATATAATTTCGTTATAAATTCTCGCACGTTGTGGTTAATTAATGGATTTTTTAATTTGTAATTTTACTCTCGCTCGCTGAAGTTAGTAATTTTTCTAACTTTGAAATAGGAAGAGCTCCTTTATTAGAGGTATTCAAAACTGAAATAATCTAACCAAAATTTAAAAAGAAAAATTGAGTAAAAAATAACAAACTGAATAAATTAAAAAAAAAACATAAAGAAATCCTTCAAGAAATTGGGGTATGTCTTGAACATGGTGAAATACCATATATGTCTAATTTCACCTAACTTTTTATGTAAAAATAAATAAAAATTAATTGAATAAAATTGGTTTTCAAATCAAGATTATATATATTTTAAGGAAAAAAATTTCTCCTGTCATATAATATAAAATTATCTCCAATAACCTCAAAATTATGTCATTTTTGGAATTGAGAGAGTTAATGAAGAATATTTTAAAAATTTGTTTATGTCTTTATTATATGAATTTTATCAAAATACCATTCTTTAATTCTTCCAACCCTCAAAATAATATAGTTTTGGGATTGTTGGAGAGATAATTCTCCCAACCCATATTTTAAATAATATTTTATTTAAAAAAATTCATATTACCCTCATTTAAAAATTTTCTATTATACTTGTATTTTGATGAATTAGTTTTATGTAAACTTGTATTTGAAATTTTTGGTGCATTAAAAAAAAAAAAAAAAAAAACTCTTATGTGGAGATTGGTCAACCAGTCAACCTCTTCTGTGTATGAATTTTGTATAAAAGTTCATCTCTACATAAAATGAATTTTTAAAAGGCACAAATATCAGTGGTTTTATTATTGTAATTTATTTACAGAAAAATGAAAGTAAATATAAGTTACTCAACTAGTCCATTAATCATCAAGCGATCTCGTGACTTGCAAATGAGACTAAACTTCTATAATTAAATTTAGCCAACTCCAATGGCTATTAGTGCAATTTTTAGTCTTGAGATAAGCCATATTGACGATGACGTTTCCAAGAGAGGGTAGAGGCTTCATGCCTTCAACAATGTGGTCTATATAAGCACGCCATCTGAGGCGAACAATATCCTGCATCATTTGCTAGCCAGCTCTCTTGCCAGTGTGTGTGTGTGTGTTTCTGATATTTGCCTCTGTCTGTGTCTGTGAGTCTCTTGTCAACTGTTAAAATGGCTGAGGGCAAAGCAGCTGATGCAGCAGCTCAGAAATCTCTTGAGGATTTTGATCCTCAAAAGAAGCCCAAACGAAACAAATTTGCTTTCGCTTGTGCTATATTGGCTTCCATGACTTCCATTTTGCTTGGTTATGGTGAGTGCAACTACATATAAACATTCATATAAAAATAGGTTTCTTCCTTCTTCTTCTTCTTCTTTTTTTTTTTTTGTTGTTGTCTTTGTTTCGGCATATTAATATAGAGAATGATCCGTTTACAAAATTGTTGCAAATTACATTATGTACTCTCGAAGAACATGATGTAACCTAATGTTCTCCTAAAAGAACATAATAGTTTGTAAGAGTTTGTAAACAAATATAACTCTCCCCTATTAATATATGCTGAAATTTGAAAAGAAAACAAAGAAACAGGTCATGTTTACAATTTTTTTTTTTTACAACTCTTACGACCTCAATTGTGTTCTCGTGGAAGTACAGTGTTGGAGCGTGCTCTGGGAATACCATAGTTGAGATTGAGGTAAGAATTGTAAACAAAAAAAATTGTAAAGTTCACCCTCCCAAAAACAAAAGGCTCTTTCTCAACAAAACATGTTTGATGAATTTTTCAGAATATATATATATATAACGACAAGTTGAGAGAATATTATTGAGCTTGGTGTCATCGTTTCACTGCAATAAACATTTATCAACATGATCATGCATATCATATATATAAGTATATAGCTATTAATTATATGTTACAGATATTGGGGTGATGAGTGGAGCAGTGATATACATAAAAAGGGACCTGAAATTATCGGACGTGCAAATCGAGATACTGATAGGCATCATCAACCTTTACTCTCTGATAGGTTCATGCCTTGCTGGCAGAACCTCCGACTGGATTGGTCGGCGTTACACGATTGTCCTCGCCGGAGCCATCTTCTTCACCGGAGCCATCCTCATGGGATTCTCTCCCAACTATGCATTTCTAATGTTCGCACGATTCATCGCCGGCATTGGCATCGGTTATGCCCTCATGATTGCCCCCGTCTACACCGCCGAAGTCTCCCCTGCTTCCTCTCGCGGCTTCCTCACCTCATTCCCTGAGGTCACCGACTTTAACCTAATCCTTTTTACATCAATAAATAAAACAAATAAATAAAATAACAAATTAATAATAAAACAATAATTTTGTTTTTTGTTCTCAGGTTTTCATCAATGGAGGGATATTACTAGGATACATATCGAATTACGGATTTTCGAAGCTACCACTTCACTTAGGATGGAGGCTGATGTTGGGAATCGGAGCCGTTCCTTCAGTAATCTTAGCGGTGGGAGTGTTGGCAATGCCCGAGTCACCTCGTTGGTTGGTAATGAAGGGTAGGCTCGGTGATGCTACAAAAGTTCTCAACAAAACCTCTGATTCTAACCACGAGGCTCAGTTGAGGTTAGCCGATATCAAAGCCGCGGCTGGGATCCCCGAGGCTTGCAACGACGACGTCGTTCGAGTAACCAAGCAAAGTCACGGTGACGGTGTATGGAAACAACTTATCCTTTATCCTACACCCGCGGTTCGTCACATCCTCATAGCTGCTCTTGGGATTCACTTCTTTCAACAAGCGTCTGGTATAGACGCCGTCGTTTTATACAGCCCCACAATCTTCGCAAAGGCTGGGATTCAATCTGAGACGGACCAGCTCCTCGCAACCGTGGCCGTTGGATTCGCTAAGACTATTTTCATCTTAGTGGCTACCTTTTTGTTGGATCGGGTCGGGCGTCGCCCGTTATTGTTGACCAGTGTTGGCGGTATGGTGTTCTCGCTTCTCACTCTTGCTGTGAGCCTCACCGTCATTGATCATGATCATTCGCACGCGAAGATAACGTGGGCCGTTGGATTGAGCATAGCCACCGTGTTATCCTACGTGGCAACGTTCTCCGTTGGAGCGGGTCCCATCACGTGGGTTTATAGCTCTGAGATCTTCCCGTTGAGGCTACGCGCTCAGGGTGCGGCTATGGGGGTTGTGGTGAATAGGGTCACCAGTGGGGTTATCTCAATGACCTTCTTGTCCCTCTCTAAAGGGATCACCATTGGTGGGGCCTTTTTCCTCTTTGGTGGAATTGCAACTTGCGGATGGATCTTCTTCTATACCATGCTCCCCGAAACACATGGCAAGACCCTTGAGGAAATGGAAGGGTCTTTTGGTCAATTCGAAGCAAAATCCAACACTAACGATAATGGCGAAATACAATTAGCAAATTAGGGACCAATACTTGTGCTTAATAGCAGAGGCAATATGTTACATTAGCAAGTAACCTTGTACGTCTTTAGATTAGCTTTTTAGCCACTTATATTGGATTAATGGTGAGGAATTTTTAGTAGGTCTGTATTAGGTTTCGTGTTAAATTTCTATTATTGTATCCAAAAAAAAAGATTAGCTTTTCAAATGGAAAAACGCGATTATCCACACAAGTGGCAGAGGCTTGTCTGCGAAGGAAAATTATAGTACTTTTTATGAATAAAAATGAAAAGAGAGATGTTGTAGTGTGGTAATCAATTGGAATACAAATGCTGCCAAAATATTGTTAACGTGAAAGATTTATCGTCCTTATTTATTAAATTTCAGTATGTTTTAAAATGTTTTTTTAATTTATACATTTTATATTTTACTTAATACTTCAGAAATAATTTTTACAATTTATATTTTATATTTTACTTAAATGTAAAATACTTATATTAAGTTTCAAATCTCAATCATATTGGAATGATCCATTGGTATCGAAGCTTGTGATTATAAAAATATTATGTAATAAAGAGGTGGCAGATCTGACATTTGTAAATGACAATGTGTGAATTACCATAGCTACCTAACTTAATTTGAAAGTGAAAAGGATACCAAATTACCAATAAGAAGGGAGGGGCAAAGTTTGTGGAATGAAAGAGGTACACAAGCTGCATTGAGGACCACATGGATGATTGCTACATTTTTAATTTGATGAAACCTTTTATTTTCCTGATCATTTGATGGGATTTGATTGACTAGAACAGAGTTTAACCTTTCCTTTCCGGTTTGTTTTACTCCTTTTTTCCTTAAAGCCAATTATTTTTCGTCGCTGAGTACCATTACTTATTTTCGATTAGAAAACGTCGAGATTTGTAAATTCTCTTTGTAATTGAATAATCCATCCTGAATATCCTGAGGTGGGAGAATAACTTATTTATTAATTCGTAATAATGACAAGTGGTCCACTAATCCTGTTCATGTCAACAGTCTGACGGTTAAGAATCAGTAATATTTATTGATAAGTTTAAGGATTGATTCATTCTCATCGTAATACACACACACACACTATTTACTGTGACATTATTTAACTATAATACAAAGTTGCTTGCACGGGATTAAAGCTTTTGAATCTTGTGAGAACAGTAAGACCGTGAATATAGCTGAAAACAATAAAAAAAAATGGAGGAAAAACGCACGCACAAACAAGCAAGAACTTGTTTACTTTCCTCTAACCATTAAGATATTTCTTTAATTAAGCAAACTTGCCTCATTGTCTGTCTCACGAGTGCAATTAGTGAGGTTGATTATTAGCATTAAAATATTCTTTTGAAATCGCAGATAGCACAATTGGCAACCTGATCTCTTCGTATGCAAACTTATAATGTGGAGATTCAAATCTTGACCTTAGGGGCAAGATCATATCATATGTGTAAGTAAAAGTTAGTCTCACATCCAAAGAGAGTGATAACACATTGTGGTAGACCAAAATCTTTCCCATGAAGAAGCAATGTCCATGAAATCACCCAGAATTCATAACAATTGGAAGGTCATGAAAGGGAAGGACGCATATGATATTTGTCTTTAGATTCCATGCCTCATGTTACTGGTTGGTAAGATCATACTCCAATAGACTAGTTTGCAAATTAGGGACACGTTTGGCTGCACGTGAAGTTGCACATCCTTTGCCATCCTCAGAAACTTATTTCCAAGTAGGATAAGAAGACGAGGGAGATTTTCAACAAAAAAATAAAATAAAAAGGCTAGGGAGCTTGCATTCATCACCGCAATGAAATGTATTTACCATTAATAGATTACAAAGCTGTATATTAACAGCATGAGGAACCCGGGAAAAAAATGGAAAAAAAAAAAAAAAAGATCCTTATAAATCTTCATCTGCCATTTATACTATTCCCTCCTTAATACTATAACCGTCAAAATTCCTCAAAAAAAAAAAAAAACAAAGCACAAGACAACAATGAATGTAAAATTACAAGCAACCATGTACATGGTAGGTGAGTTCTATATTATTTCTCACTTCTCGATGCCTTGCTGCAGGTACTGTATCAAGTCATAGCCAGCAGTGGTCCACTTATTGTAAGCATCTTTACACACATGGGTCATGAAATTGGCTGCTTCACGCTCACTCATCTCCGGATGAAATCTCTTCCGAAGATTGCCAATGGGGTCTCCCCTGCTGAAGCAAGGTAAACCGCTGTCCAGCATTAATGCCACAGTAGTGATGATCCCATCCATATGTTGACGGGCAGCAAGGTATCCCTTCACACACAATCTAGATGTACAGTAAACGGTGAAAGAAACTCAGCTTTTGATATATGATATGGTAAAAAGAAAAAATTAAGAGGGGAATTATTTGTTATCAAGATATAAACGCCATTACTACCTTAAAAATTGGTTCCATGTATCACTCTTCATAACACCTGATGGATCTAGTAATTGCGTCATCTCATGGCTCAGCTTAAAATGTGCACTTTCAAAACGCATATTCCCACCGGGAGAAGTTTCTAGGATGAAACCGAAGTCAATATGAACAAGCCTCCCAACACTGCATCAGCATACATAATAGCGATGGATTTATTGGACCAGTAATTTTATATACTTGCAGCAGGGTTAGAATGCAAAGGGGGCAGGGGAACTGAAGATCACAAATACAATGAACCAAGGGGACCAAACAATGATGATGTTCAATGTTACAGAGGAAACTAAGTTAAATTCAAAGGAAGAAAGACAAAGATCTTACTTATCAAAGAGAAGGTTCCCATTGTGCCTATCCTTTGGTTGAAGCAACAGACTAGCAACAGCATAACCAGCACTACTAATGATAAAGTTCTGGCGAGCAGCCTCAAAACTGCTAGACCCAACAGGTCCATAGTCTTGCTGAAATATCTCGAGCAAACCCCCATCAGTTGTTTCCCCCATCTGACTTCTACTACGTGTATTAGGCACAACCTGAAAAATGGAAGAAATGAATTACAAATCGACAAAATAAGCATCCCATATGTGACAAGAGAATAATTAACATTAAATAGAACTATAATGCCACAAAAGCAGTTATGGATTTACAGGGAGAAAAAAACTAACAGAATCTTAAACTTTGAATCTCTTAAATTATTGATTAAAACAGGGTGTCAAGACATATAGATAGATGATTTGCATTTGGAAAAAATTGATAAATTGAAATTGGGAATATATGTAATCAACAACTATATCATTTTGCTTTTTTTTCTGACACGGGCATCCCCCCACCCCCCTCAAAAAAAAGAAAAAAAATTCTCAAAGTATATCCACAATTAATATTCAACATTCAAACTCCACAACAAAGCAAATCAAAGTAATAAAGTAAAAAAAAACAAATCAATAATTGAACTAACTGTTGTAGTATACTAGGCTCTTCATTATTTTTAGTCAACCAAAATTGTGTGTTTTGAGTCCAAAACAATGTTACGTGTGATTCAACTTCTTTTGTGTCCCAGGATTGTAAAACTCGTTAAGAGTTTTAAGAGCTAACGTGAGAGTTTGACTACCATGACAGTACCACAACCTGGATTGAAAGAAACCGATTGTCCAAAAGAAATATATCCCTCAACAATAAACTTCCAAGGACTAGCAAAAGTTGCAGTTATCACTGGATTGAGATTCCACCCATTTTGATGTAGAAAATACTTTGACTGAATTACCTAGTGCCACAGAATTCTCAGTATGCTTCTGTAAATTAGGAATAAACTCACCTCTATTATACCTCTCTCAGGACCAGTAGGCAGAACACCATAAGGAAATAGATAGAGATTTAATCCGACAGCTTCAAATATATCTCTAAGAAGTGCTATTACTTGAAGGGCAAGAACATCTTGTCTACAGTCATCTCCAACCTTGAATGTTAAGAGAACTCATTTAGCCAAGAAAGACAAAAAATACAAACTAAGCACAATTGACAAGAAGAAAAAAAAAAAAAAAAAAAACTAGAGGTGCAAAACAATTGGTTTACCCAACAGTAACTGCACCCTGAACATATCGCTACTTTTTATTTGGTCCATATTCCATATATTAGTTGGAAAATTTATAATATGCAGTAATTGAGAAATCAAATATTTTTCATAGAAGACCGAAAATTACTGAAATATTTCATTTTGACAAGTCATTACAGTTTTTATGAAATAAAATATAAACTGGATCCGTTGGAACTTCAGTGGTTTTAGTATTTGATTATAACTTCACACGTGCTTATATATGTAATCTGGTCACTGCTATCAATAGAAGCTAATCTCTAGCCATCCACCCACCCACCAAAAACAAAAAAAGAAACTTCAAACAATGTGTAACTAGAGTATATATGGGTCATACTAAGTAAGAATGTATTATAAAGATTGCTAGTTCGCTATGACCCTATAGCACAATGTTTGGCAGTTGTGTCAACAGGATAACAAAGTAATTATAAACGTCAATTCTTGAATTGAATCTAGAAAGGATATCATCATAAACACAGGCCAGCTAACCTTGAAAATGCAAGCTTGTGGCTTTATATCATTTTTGTCCCCATCTCGATCAACCACGTTAAATGTTATCATGATAGGGACTTTTGCAGCTGACTGTAAGGGAATGCCGCTATCTACTCGAATACCCGTAACAAGCTTGTTAGGAGCTGTTGGTAGATATAGGTCTTCACCCTCTAGTTCAATTTTCTCCAACTCTCTATTACATACGGTCAAAACAAACATAAACTTCTGTCAGGAATAAATTGAAAATTTAACTTAAGAATTCACAATAAAAATCATGCCTTCAGACATCTTCCAAATACCTTCGGATACCAGCTCGACGTTCTTCCTTAGGGAGTGGAAATAGTACACCAGATATGGATGTAACTTTGTCAAAGAAATCAAACTCTCTTCTAAATATGTCAAGTGCCTTTGGACTAAAACCATCAATTATTCGCTGTCTTACAGCTGGCAGCAGTTCTAGAAATGAACCATTCTAAAATAAAAGCACAAACAGTTACATACTATATTAAGTATGATTTAAAAAAGCAACAGATTATAAAATAAAAACAAAGAATTTAATTTGAATATGCTATATTTTCACAAAGTAGCACAACAGAATTAAATGTAATCTGAAGCAACTATCATGTTGATGGTAAACTCAGATAGTGTTTTCCCATATCATCTTCTTGACTGTCTAGACAACAAACATAGTACACCTCATAATTTATTGTGAGCCTACAAAGGTCTGACAACTAAGAGCCTGAATATATGATTACATACTGCACCTCATTATTTAATTCTGAAGCCAAGAAATAGGCAATGCACAGATTATTATAACTGTATAAGTCTGAAACCAAAACTATAATCCGTCCTCCAATTTTATTTTTCTTAATTTCCACTTTGGGCAGTCCCAATATGCATGTCTCAATTTAAGAGTCAATATGGCAAGTTTTTACATTCCTCAATTGCTCTTACTTTTTCTTTCAAATTCAAAAACATTGAGGATAGTTATGACAATACTTGATCTGATGTATTAAACTATAACATTTTTAGAAAGAAGTGCTCTGTACTTTATCACAAAACAAGAGTTTTCTTAGAATAAATGAAAAGTCAAATAAGACACATAAAATGGTAAAGAAGGATTGAGGAAGCAATATTTCTGAAGCAGAACACGACTGAGAATCAACTCGAAAAATATGATTGATAAATTACATTTATAGATGAAGACAAAATATCATAAAAAAAATCACTCTCCATTAAATCCCGACTGGTGAGAGTGGGGTGAGGGCAATCCTTATACGCAGTTTTATCCTTGCATATTTGCAAAGAAGCTATTTTTCAGATTCGAACCCGTGACCTTTTTTTTGAATAAACCACAGTTATCCTCCACGGGAGGCAATCCTGTTTGGAGCGGGTCCAAAATTAACGTTTTAAACCCCTTCCAAAAATGGTACTGGGGAGGATCGAACACATGCTCTCACCTCCACCTGCTCAGCTCCCATGCGCCAACTGAGCTACCATAATTTGGTCGTGACCTTTTCAGTCACAAAGTAGAAGCTTTACCACTACTCCAGGCTAGCCCTGCTCATAAGACAAAGTATCATAGAATAATAATAATTAACACAAAGTCAATGCAACTGGTTACAGTGCTCACTGCTCATTAAATATTAGTTATTAGACATATCATATTATAATAATAATAATAATGATAATCATTATTATTATTATTATTAACACAGTCATTGCATCTGGTTTTGGTGCTCACTGCTCAGAATTTATTAGAGATGCCTAAATGATTATGTACATGACATGCATAAATCTTAGAACTTGACATGGATTTGAGTTTAAAACTCGTGACATTTTCATAGCAGTATATGATAGCAATAACTACAATGGATATAAAGAAATTTGCTGCTGGCATACCTTTACACTGTTTGGATCTTTTCCTACCTCAGGTACAGTCTCACCCTGCCCAAAATAAACTCATAGCTTAATCACTTAATTAATTAAAAACAAAGAACTTGTAATGAATGCATATAGTGACAAAAGGGACCATAATCCGCAGGTAAGAAAAACACAATTATAATTAAGAATAATGAGCACAACATAAGTAAAATAAATAACAATCACTTTCATGTACCAAAAATGAATAACCATAAAGTTATACCTGCAGATGCCAGATAAGAATGTGAGCAAATATGTCACTTCTTTGAGCAGCTCTAAGCAAATAACCTTCTACTAATCTCTGCAAAAAATAAATGATGCAACTGATAATTGAGTCTGAATATTATTGTATATTCAAGTGTGTATAACTGTACAAGAAGGCTCTCTATTTATAGAGACTAAAAGACCTAATGGGCTAAGCCCACAATCTAGACTAATCTAATAATAATAGACTAATATTATTTCTACACTCCCCCTCAAGCTGGTGCGTATATATCAAAAGCTCCCAGCTTGTTACAAATATGATCTATTCGGGGACCTCTAAGAGCTTTAGTGAATACAGCCGCAAGTTGATCATTGGAATTGAAAAATGTTGTCTCGATCTCCCCTGACTGGATCTTTTCTCTAACAAAATGACAGTCAATTTCTATATGCTTGGTCCTCTCATGAAAGACTGGGTTAGAGGATATATGCAAAGCGGCTTGATTGTCACAAATGAGCTTCATAGGCCGTTGTTCACAGAGATGGAGTTCCTTAAGCAATTGTCTCAGCCAGATGAGCTCACAGCTCTGATACCAAATTGAGTCTGAATATTATTGTATATTCAAGTGTGTATAACTGTACAAGAAGGCTCTCTATTTATAGAGACTAAAAGACCAAATGGGCTAAGCCCACAATCTAGACTAATCTAATAATAATAGACTAATATTATTTCTAACACTGATTATCAAGCAAAACACATTGAAATTCCCCATAAATAAGGTCATAATATTGGCCTGATGTTATTTACACTTTTACATCACGTATTAGAGGTTATCTTCAGAAAAGGTTGAGAAACTTCCGTTTTTAAAATGTATGAGCCAAAGATGTCTCGTTCAAAATTGGATTTTCGGTTTGGGGAAATGAATTGAATTAAGATGTCAAAATATTTTGTGAGTAAAGATAAAAACTTGGAGAAATAACTCAAAAATTTCCATAACACTGCAGAGTAACTCAACATGGCGAAAAACATCTTCCCTACCCTATCGTTATATATATATATATATATATATATATATTTTGTTTCAGTCAAATGAACTTTTCAAAATCTTACCCATGTGATTACATGACTTAAAGCAAAAGGCTTAGTCATGCTGTAGACGTTAAATGGTGAAAGAAAAAAATGTACAATCAGGTTTTATGTGAAAAACAGGAGGAAAGCACATACTAGTGGGATAAACAATAAAATTAAGTTTCAGAAGATATCTAACCCCTTCATCATGTCGCAAAGACTGCACCAGCTGTGGCATAAAAAAGGTCACTCTTTCAGGAGGATAGGTTTCCAGAACCCTTAAGACATATGCCATGACCCGAGGATGCCCCTTGTATGCAGGAGTAAGGAACTCCAGAGCTTGTGTAATAGAACAAGGAGCCCAATGAGGCAATTGTTGCAATAGCACTGAATTATCATCAACAGCCTTTGGGGTAATAAAGTAAGGTAATGCTTCTGGTATGTTGCGCACGTCCACTATATGTGCCTGTAAAGCGAAGCCACTATGTGATAATTTACAATATAATGACTTTGGATGAGTCATAAGAGTGAGAGAAGCTGGGATCACAGGAATGAAAAAATAATATAAAAGAATGATACAAGTTACAGAACACAGGAACAAATCTCCCCTTAAGTGTTTCTGATGTAAAGTGAGGGGAAATGGCAAAAATACCCATAAAACGGGTTCAATAATGTACAAAATGACTACCGCAAATTTCTGGGATAGTGGCTGCAATTTGAGGTCACACTCCCACAACACTATCTGGTTCCCTTAGCAGCCGAAAACCGCAACATGCCACTCTGCCGCTATAGTGTGATTGATAGGTATGTATAAAACCATTTGTGTGCTTTCTTTTTAACATCTTAAGCTTTTCAAGTTAAGTTGATCCCCAACAAAGGTATTACTGGGTTTAGTTTTAATGTCTCATAGTCTTCTATCACTAAGGTATTTGATACAAGTTAAAGGAAACGTGTTTGAGCTAGAGGTTTTCTTCATCTACATAACTCTAGTTTGATCTTTATTTTCTGCAACTTTCTTAGTTGAGTGTTGATGTTCTATATTCTTGAACAGAGGACTACATTTGATTGTAAGGAGCTAGTCTCCAGCATCACTAATTTTCTAAAGTAAATTTCAAGTTCAAGTTCCTGATAATGTACAAGCTTCCCTTTGGAATTAGTAGTAGTCTATATCCTTCTGTGATTAGGATATTCATGTGAGGTCAATCGAAACATTTGTAATGTTTTCTTTTAATAGAATGATCAGATTATGAATGCTGACAACAAATTGCTTTATTTTCAGTTGTGCGAAGCAATCAAACTCTGTGTGGCTTCTAGGTTTGTTGCCTTCTCAGCTACTACTCCGATTATTTTTCTTTTCACACCACCTAGACAGATTTCTTTGGTAGACGACAGAATAAAGCATTATTTCTTTCAAAACCTTAGTTTGCCTCACACTTGAATTTTCCCTATCAAAACCAAAAACATATAGCAGCATACTGTTTGCACTTTGCCGCACCCAAAACCAATTGACCTTTCCTTACACCACATTATCTTGCTTTAAGACTCCTCTAGCATTTACCTACCCACAATAAACCTTTGATCCTACACTTTCTACCATAAATTTAATCATAATCTTCCACTTTCCAATATCAAGAGAACATAGGGAACAGTATTTGCTCCAAAAATTAAAATTTTGACTTAGCCAACTCCCATGTTCAGACACTACTGACTAGGACTTCCTGCTCACAATATTTATTATAAAAAAATGTACCTGAACCAGCTGAGTTACTTCGGTCTTCACAAATGCGTTGGTCGGGAACCTTGAGGCCAAGCATAAAGCAATCCTAGGATCAACAGCGAAGGCAGTCCTACTATATTCTATCCATTTATCTGAGCTAAACTTGGGTCGGGAACCACTTTCTCTGAAAATACATACCAATAAAATAAGAACAAAAAACGAAAAAAAGATGTAATGAAATTCCAGGTGTCAAAAAAAGATATATACTTTGTGTTAGTTGGTTGCGCCCAGACCTCAAGCCTATCAGCCTCATGTTGGCATAGCATTAAGAGTAGCTGCCGACGTTTTTCTCTGCCTACAGCATAGTTCTCCATTTGACCCCAAACAGGATGATAGTGATCATTCTACACACATGTAAATATTAGGACAATTGCACAAAATATTTTGAGTCTCTTAAAAAAGTTAAAACCAATTTGACAAACAAAGACCACCAACACAAAGGACATGAATTTAAAATTTAACTCAACAACTATTGTTCCAAAGCCCATAGTGTAAGCAGATGTCAATACTGGACATAGAACTATTACCACATCAGCCAAAGAATTCCCATTTTCTTGTCCATTTCCTTTTGAACCAAATTGAACAACATCTCCTTTCACATTTGAAAGGTAGTGAACAAATAGAGAAACGGACTGAGCCTCACACTGAGCAAAATTTGTATAGTTTGTATCATACCACTCAGGCTCATAAGCAAACCAACCCAAAGAGGCCCTGCAAATGCACCAAATAACACTTCCAATTAGTCCCAAGAAAGGTGAAAATAATGAATCCAATTTGGGTGGTTAACTTTACAAGAAACTAATTGCAATAGCAGAACAGCCAAGTAAATGTAAAGAAGCATGCCGTGAAAATATTTTAAAAGGCCTAAGAAATATAGATTCATGAAGAGCTAACATGAAATACCAGGCATGCCCTTTACAGTTAAACCAGATCCCCCACCCACATATTAAGCAAACTAATCAACCTCCAAAAGTTGCAACTCAAATTGAAGACCATGATGGATTTAGCATTATTAAGAGATACAAATATTCATTATGGTTTGTTCAGAAAAAAAGATCAAACAAAAAAAAAATACAAAAGATACACTGTTTACTTTGATCATCTCGGTACTGCCCTGAAAAAAAATTTAACAGGGCAAAGCATTCACCTTTAATTGCCAATATATAAAGCGCACAATAAGTTTCAAACATTATTTATTGTATAGATTTAAAAGACAAGAGTAGTTAAAATTTAATGACATTCTAGTCATGGAGCAGATAATGAGAACATGCCCAAGATTTGGCATAAAAATTCAAGTGACAGGTTTAGAGACCGAGTTAACTTGAGCAGAGTTAATCTATACATGACTTCACCATTTCTAAGTTACTCATCCCAGCTAAGTCCTCAGAAGCATATTGGCATGCAGAAAAAATTTTACCATCTAAAAATGAAATGGGCCTAAATTGCACATTTTCGAGAAAAACCTTCCAAGCCACCAAATTAAGGGAATTCAAACCATGTAAGAAGAGAGAAATTGAACAGAGAAAAGAGTTTCTTATCTTTCATGAAATACGGAAAGTGCTAGCAAAATGCACGTTTTGTGTAGAAGAATACACAAATTGCTCAACAAATAATACTGAACAAAGAGATACTGCCAGCACTACTCTCAGCACAGGTAAAGAAAAAGAACAATTTAGGAGAAATGCACCAAGAATGCCAAAAAGAAACTATAAGAGACACTCATGTTCACCGATAAATCCGATCTTCCAGCAGCTGAAGCCCTATTTGAAATTTTTGCAAATTGCCCTGAAACTGGCAAGAGCAGTACTTGAGCCCTAGAAGCATGAGAGTGAAAAAAGTGCCAGTGGCTGCAGGATGGTGTGAAAAGCTCCAGGGAAGTTTTGTTGTCCCCTGCAACATCCTACCAAGAAGCAAAAGTTGCTCCACACTTTGGTGTCGAACCGCCTAAAAGAGACAAGATAAGAAGTGATCCAGGGAACAAAAGCACACCATTAATTAAAATATTTGAAATTTTTAAAGTTGGAACTAGATTGAATATCGAATACAGTAAAGGGAAAGGAAGGAACAAGGCAATGCATTGTTCAAGCATTGCAATCGTAGTTCATAACGTTAATTGCAATGCGTATCAATATATTGAATGTTGAAAAAATACCAAAAAGTTCATTAGCAATTAGTCAATCAGAATAAAAAACATAGCAACTAACATTTGGTGGCAATTTAATACCATAATAATAATATCCAATACGATCCACTAATCAAGAACTGACTATCAATTCTTTAACTATATGGTGATTCATCAATATATTCCTGAATTCAACACTCCATATCAAACAACTAAAACATAATCTTTTACTAAAAAATCCAGTAAGTTGATAGAGAAACCCAAGATTCTACATTGCTAATTTCACATTTAACTGTGCATTTTGTAAAACAACTAATTCAACCCAACAACTGAAGTTGTTAGGTGAAGAGACATTAATGGTTTAATATTTATTTTTTTAACACGCCCCTTCATACAAGAGCCCATTGGGCTTGAGGGGTAGACAATGCATAGACCCACTTACCTGCACTATGAAACTCCACAATATTTAATTATTTATTAATACAATAGGGGCAATGAAGATCGAACTCGTGACAATTTGGTCAAAGAAGTTCTGATACCATGTAAAGCAACCAATTCAACCCAACAACTTAAGTTATTAGGTGATGACACATTAATGATTTTATATTTTATTTCTTTAACACATTTAAATATAGCATTGATTAAAACATAACTACCATGTAATACCCTGACAGGATCTTTGATTAATGATTTGTTGATTATTCTCATCTAGCAATTAACACAATAACAAGTTAAACAAGCACATAGAGATAGATGAGGCAGTCATGAATGAATGAAATTTTTTTATACAATAGGAATGACCGCTTAAGATAAAAACAAACATAAATAAACATAGCAATCATTATTATGTTCAGATAAACAAGTGGCCGGAAAAGAAAATGGAAGTTAACAAATAAGGTGGGCCACTTCTAACCTCAAAGCGATCAATGAGAAATCCAAGCCATAGTCGATGAGCAATTATCTGCTCAACAGGGTCAATCTCGGACTGCAATTCAGGCTCCCCAGGGGACAGGTGAGGCCTCAGTCTTGCAGCAGGCCCGGAATACCTTGTTTCAGATGCAAAAAGACCCCGCTTGGTGTCAATTGTCCATAACCATGCATCAACAAGCTCGGCAAGAACGAGAGCTCCAAGCTGAGGTGCAGCAGAAACCAACCACGTCCATATGTAAACACCTGTTTCCATTGCATCATGGGTGGAGATATAAGCAGGACACCAGCAAAGAAGACGAAGAAGTTGTGAGAAGCCCTCCATGTTCGATTTGGATCCAGAACTCTTGTCCATAAGAAAAACATAACTCAGATAAAGGTACAAATCATAGATGCCCTAAAAGTCTAACTACTACCATCTCAATACCAGTGAGAAATGTGTTTACCAAATTTGACAACAGCAGCACAGTAGCCTGAGAGCAAGTATCACGAAATTCAGACCTGACCACTTCCCCACCTTTCTCTGCTATGTTGACAAACTGTTGAAGTAAACGCACAAACTTATTAAGCAACATTCCATTGAATGAGTCATCCTCAGCTTGTGGTTGTTGAGGAAAAGCTCCAGATATAATTCTTTGAAGCCCAGCTCCAAGCCCCGTACTGGATTGAAATCCACCAATGCTGTTATACAACCTTCTCATGCCAGCAATTTCTCCAGCGTGGTTGCACTTGACTGTCGCTGAAGCTTGATTACACTTACCAGAACTGATAACCTCTAGATTAAAAGACTCTGACGCTTTTAAGTTTGCTCCTGAAGCTGCAGCTGCGGCAGCCATGACTGCAGGAATATTTGCTGTTTGCATTGACCAGTTGTCATTTTTCCCAGTGCCAATTCGTATCTCAGATAAAAGTAAAACAACATCAATGGAGGGCTGTGCTCTTTGCCAAGTGTTTGCTTTACAAAGTTTATCCTGATGTGAAATACATGGACAGAGATGTGCAAGGGAAAAAACTGTGAGGATATAATACAAAATAGAGATTGCTTTAACAATGAAACCTATAGAAAAATTAAATGGAAAGATATATGCATTAGCAAGTAGCAAAAATCAAAATGGAAGAAATTAAGGCACAACAAAACTTATGCAACCACCTCATTTTAGGACCAATTTCAGAATGCAAGTTAACTAGAATCAGTAGGGCAGCAATATATGAACCATACTTATGCAGAAGTAAAAAGCAGAAGCATTGAAATTTATACCTCAAAATTTCTATCAAAACTTATTTTTGTGCAGACAATGATGCTCACCCACAGAGGAAAATAATATTATCCAGAATTTGACAGTTTTTCGAATAGGAATTTGTATTTTAATTTTCAAATAAAAGAATTCTAATTCTTGTTACATAACAACATATCTAAGGCCCTTAAAAGCGAGCATGGGCCCAAAATGTTGAGAAAACAATGACAAGGCAACTACAAAAATTTAGATATTGACTTTTATCAATGAAATAGATCAGGTCAACCTGCAGAAGGCCCTGGCTAGTGCATGGAGCACTTGAAAGTGATTTAATTATCCATTCACGAACAATTCTCTGATATAACGAACGGACTGTTACTGTCCAAGCAGGATCATTGATGACAGCAGAAGAAGAGTCATCATTAAATGAAAATAGCAATGAGTCTAAGCAGGATGAATCCCATAAAACCTGCAAAGATATAGTTCTAATCTTAAATATGCTGGAGAATTCAAGAAAAGAAAGCAGACGACACATTAGGCAAATTAATACATCCACAGGTACATATATTTATAACATACACCGATAAAAATTACCTGTGGAAACCTATCTCTAAGTTGAGTCAACAAGTTCTCTGCAATATCTCGTATATGATCCTCCCTTTGAGACAGACTTTTGATTAGAAAACAGGTATGTACTGTAAGTATTGAGTCTCGGGTATCAGCTTCATGGCCTATTTCAGAAACTCGATCTTCCTGAAGGCAGACCAATCAGTCATGTACATATCATGCAGAGACAAAATAACAACATACAATCAGCCTTTAACAAAGATAAAGACATAAACAGGTACATAAATGAGAGGAGTAGCATGTCAGCTAACGACAACCATTAGGTCACAAATGCCAAATCTAGATTATATCACCATATAACAGTCATGAAGTCAATTAAAAGGGTATGAACATGTTATGACCCATTTGCAAGGTATGGGACTTGGAGTCCCACATTGGTTGTATGAGCAACTAATGTGGGGTTTATAAGGTCTTGGGCACTCTCATCCTTTGAGTTAGCCTTTGGGGTGATGCATCCCAAAGTTCTTATCAAATGGTATCAAAGCCTTCCACTATGTCTCCCGGTTGCAATCGAGTGACGCGGGTGGTGATGCTGACATTGCAGTGTTCGCCCGGAGCTACTAAAAGACTAGCGCAAAGCCAGCCCGCATGGGCGTCGGGGCTGCGGAGTGTGGTGGGGTGTTAGGACCCATTTGCAAGGTATGGGACTTGGAATCCCACATTGGTTGTATGGGCAATTAATGTGGGGTTTATAAGGTCTTTGGCACTCCCACCCTTTAAGCTAGCTTTTCGGGTGGTGCATCCCAATTCTTATCAGAACACCATACTCACTTTCAAAAAAGTGTCAAGTAAAAAAACCACTATAATTAAAATCATAAGCATAAATTTCGAGAACCAATTTACTTCAATGAAAACTCGTGATTTTTATAACATATTTCTCGTCAAACTTTCTGCACAGATTGATTAAATTGTCAGTGCTTCTTAATAAACAATTATGAAGATATAATACTTCATTGATGGATAAATACAACCTAAGGTTCAGCCAGCTTTGATGTATTCATAATAAAAAAAAATCTATTAATGCAATAAAAGTAACATTTTCGAAATGAGAAACATAAAGGAAATAGAATTGTTTTGCATATATATACATAGGCATATTTGCTACCACCTTAAGCCTTTGGGGTGAATAGTAAACAATGTTCTATTGGAACATGTTCAATGGGTAGATCAAATTTAGATAAGAACTACTTATCACTAAGTAAACATGTCTTGCTCCTTTGGGTTGAGAAGCTTATGGCCCTTATGAGTACACATAAAGGGAAGCATTAGCAGGTTAGACACAATTAAGTTAGTTGAACCTGTTTCCAATCAGCTTAAGCTTTCACAACAACTGTAGTCAAAGTAAAACCTTTGTGAAACTAATGCCTACCAGCCATGACACAGCTGTTTCAAAGGCCCTGTGGACAATTGCTGTTAAGCACTGGAAGACAGCGGGCATTAGATTTGGAGTCTTGAGATATTCAAAGACACAAGTGAAGGCACTTCTAGCAGCATCCATAGTGGTGCCACCATTTAGGATTCCGCCATTGCTGCTGAAGCGGATGATCTCTAGAAAAGCTACGGCAAGAAGATAAGTAGCTTTCACTCCTACAAAACAAATAAATAAAAGAAAAACACCACTATAGTCATGTCATGATAGAGTGAAATAGTACAAAAATTAATACTGGAGTTAAGGGGCAATGGGATAAATTCCATCCCAAACAGAAATCTAGAAACCACATTATAAATTATAATTTTCTAGTCTGTCAAGCCAGAAAATGTGTAAATTTAACCATGACCCACACGAGACTTGAGAACTTAAATATAGAAAAAAGGGTAAGTGAAATTTGAATTGCTTGTCAACGGCACAAGGCTATGAACAATTTGTGTGTGTTAGTCTAGATAAAGAACTATGGTATATGTTAACAACATCAACTTCACCTTTAACCCAAACTACTTGGGGTCGGTAGTCGATGCAAATAAGAGCAAAAACAGATTAACGGAAAAGGAATAATAAATAAGAAATGTAATATATATATTTATATATCATAAGAAATAAGTAAATAAATAAACTGTTGAAAAAAATCTACTCCTCCACAATGCTAATAGTTTTCCTCCATTCCGTCCTAAGACAAACAATACGTCAATCTTTCTCACTTCATTAAGTCTTATTTTATTAGTTTTCCCCAAGTAAGTTATGGCTGACCTCTTCCTTTCTTTATGTCATGTTCTCGATAATACATGAGCATCTAGGAGTCTTCCTTCTTTTTGTCATGTTCTCGATAACAAACTTATACTCTTACATGAGCATCTTGGAGTCTTCAAAGAATACGGTATATGTTAACTAATATGTAAATTGTAAAATTATTAAATAATTAAAATAATCACATTAACCATTTATATTTATGTCATAAACTAAAAATGGCTAAGTTCACACTTCCATATAAAATGAAGTTAATCACAAAACATATCATGTAACAAATAATCAGTTATCTAGATGCTTGTCCGCAGCACAAGGCTATGAACAAGAAATGTCAATCGAAGACATGCCAGCACATGTTCAAACATGTTCAAAGACTGTCAAAGGCATGAGTAATATCATCCTGAATTTACAACCTATTGTTTCCAAAAGCAATGTGTCTGAAATAGAAAGAGGTGTTATACAAGTGACGGATCTGGTAAGTGCCCAACAGGCTAACACAAAACGCAGCACCTCTCTAAGAATCTGAAGGTGTTGACGACTCATAGACTTGGAAAGTTAATGAATATAAAGTAAATGCATTCCACCTGAGATTGTGGTCATTGCCGTGACATCAACTCTCCCTCCTAAAGCTGCAGAAAGAGCAGTTCTCTGTGCAAGAGCAGCTTTCTCATTGCCACTTCCTTGGCGACTTCCTGGGTTGTGCAGAGCATTTAGTTCTAACTCATCCTCGAGCCATTTCACCGAGCTAACAACCTGGGCAGAAACAGAGAGATATAAAAATAAAATGTCAGACTGGTACACAGTATACAATTAAATTTTGGGGGTTGCAAGAGAAAGCTATTGAATTAATAATATCAAGATAATCACAGGGAAAAAGTTAAATTTGATGGTAAGAATGGCAACTTTTCTTTAGGATAAAGAGACTTGTGCAAAATAGAAGGCCACAAAATTTTACAAGTTAAAAAGAATATCAAGGCCAAAAACCATGTAATTCACAACTATGCTGTAAAAATAAGGAGGGTTCCTGCAGTTGACATAAAGCTCAAATTAGCAAAAATTATATTACAGAATCTTAGTAATTTTAAAATATGCCATCAAATGAATCAAGGTCAACTGACAGATGCAGAATACACAAGGAGAACAACTATTAGTTTGCATAATGTGATTGATCACATTGTAAAGAGACATGGTTTTAGGCAGGTAGTTGAGGACTTAATTGAGCTTTGATATTTGTCGTCGGCCACTTCTGCTTCCTATGTGTTGAATTTTGATAATTAATATCATCTGTTCAGCACATGTCTAGATTTTGAAAACTAATACGACCTATTTTTATAATAATGGGTTCAAGATATTAGAATTACAATTTAACCGATCCATGGATACAAGCTTACCTATCAGTTTCCCTAACTGTCCCTAGCAAGCTAGGTTGAAACCTTGAAACCACCATATTTTGGAAGTATGGATCCATAAAAATAGTGTGAGTACCATGCAATATAAATGTTTGATATTATGTGCACACATAGGGTACAGTCATAAATTAAATGCTAACCTCCTGCTGGTAGACTATACAATTGCAGAATTATCATATCCTTTTATTTATGGAAGGAAATATGTAATAAATTCCAAAGAATCAAGTTGTTATTTCAATATTTGCATCCTAACAATCATGACATGCTCCAAAATAAGGCCTTTATATTAGTTCAGATCCCTATGCTAACCCATCCAACCAAAGTATTCATGCATTGAACTAAACTAATTGCCAAAGTAAGCCAGATATCTCGGCTAAAGCATTCAACAAAGAAGAGATGCAATAACATTGAGGCGAAATCTTCTAACACTGCTTCGCACAGACCTAACAAAGTTCAGCCTAAAGCACATTTTGTCCATGAAATGGCCACTCCATTCCTACCCCTAATCCACAATAATAATTAGTTGGGTACAAAAAAAGGAACAAATAATCATTTCACTCTGGGCATTGGTTTCGCAGACACAGAAATCCTTATTCCCTCCTAGAGGTGAAAATGGCCATTCCCAGTAGGCTGGAATAATTAATGCTTGTTTGGTTTCCTTATCTTAGAATGATGACTCCATTCTATATCAATTCCACGTATCAAATATAAAAATGGAATGAAATGGAATAATATATGATTCCATTCCCAAAGCAAACCAACACTGGAACAATACTGGTTATTCCACTGCAAACAATTCTGTTCTTAGGTTCTTCAAGAAGGAAAAATAATCAATTCTGAGTACCAATCATACCCATGTATTACAAGAAAAAGATTAGCCATAAGCATAGCACACCAAATCACCAATTAAGTTAAAATTATTCAAATCAACTTCCAAGAAAACAAGGTAAGGCAGATCAAAATTGCTACTTGTGAATAGCCCCGCTTTAGCGGAGTTGCATTGCAGTGCAGCGGCCGGCCGCCACAGACCGCGTCGCGACGGTCAGGCGAAGTGTAGAGGATGTAGCGGCCGCTATTGCAGCTATTGCGCCACTACAGTAGTTTTTGCAAAAGTGTTCTCATCGTAGAAGGAAGAGATTTACAACTTAGATACAAGTGAAGATGAAGATTTGGATGTTCATGATTTCAATTATGATTAGTTCCTTAAGTTCTTTGATTTTGACATTTCACTTAAGTGACAGTTTGAATTTTGACTAATTTTGCCACTTTATTTTGTTGTGTTACATTATTTGAGACTTTAATTCCTTCAATTTGCTTATGATTTGAATTTTAATGTTCGAAATAATTTATGTTTGAGTTTGAGATCCTTCAAATTTGTTTTTTAAGTCACATTTTCATATTTTAAGTTTTATATTTGTGGAGTACAATTTAGTGTATCACTTAGGTACACTTTGCACAGTAGCGTTGTAGCGCTACCTGCTATAGCGCTATAGCAGTTTTGAGGGTCAGCCGCTACGCGCCGCTATCCGAGATTAATAAGTATGGCTAAACGGTATTGCAATCCCTCCAGATAATGATGAATCGTAAATACACTGTAACACAATAACAACGTAAGGCAACAAATGTGTTACGTTATTTTATAAACAATATACATACATAGAAAATAAGAAAATAAAGACATAATGGAATTGTTTACCCAAAAAGTTTAAAATCTTTTAAGATCAACTTACTAGTGGAGGAGTCCCCTGAGAAATTCTCTGAACAGCAGAAGACCACTCCATATTCCACATATATGGCCCACTTACAGCTTGAAGGGCAATCCCACCCATGCTTCCCACACTGTTCAGGGTACTGGAAACTGACTTTGTAGTTAGCTGAGTCTTCTGTATTGGAGGTGCAAGGCCATAAAGAGCAACATAGAACCATAGGTTGCGAAACAGTTTTAATAGTGATGGCTCCACATTTAAAGTAGGATCAAAATCAGAACAAATCGCAGCAACTGCCGGGAGCAGAGGACCCAGGAAATCTGCTCCACTCCTACAGTGATTAAGTATCAGATATGAAATCTTGAGAAAACACAATTCATCAATGACCTACTCAAATTCTCAACAAAAATTCACACATTATTATATATTGTCATATCATGTGCTCAGCATAGAAAAAGGCATACCTTCCACTTTTAGACTCAGCAGCTAAACCAACATCTGAGCACAGGGAGAGCAATCGATGGCGATAATCTGAACGTAATCTATCACTAGTAAGACCACTAGCAATAAGAAGAAATCCTGCAGGTAGAGTCTAGAATGTAATTGAACCAGTGAGAATCCATTTGATATTGTATTACACCAAACAAATCAAATTTAACATGTGCTATTGCCATTTTTAGAGATATTACATACTTCAACTCGCTCAGTTGTGGCTTCAGGTGCCTCTGTTTTGCTTTCAGCCGATCCTACACTGGAAAGTTTATTCATGTAACTTCTAGTCATCAAAACCATTGTCTCACGGTAAGATTTCTCAAAACCTAAACTAGCCATTCGAGACACAGCATCAAGAAGCTGTATAGGTTGCAACAAAGACAATGTAAGATTCAAACCACAACAGCCAAAGGATTGATAGATAATTGATCAAAAAGGAGGGTCGTAAAATAAATTGACAGAATTTCATATCAATTTCAGAATACATGCTCTGAAGACAAAGTTCCATACTCGGAGTCTCAATAAACTAGGAGTTGAAGCATCACCCTCTTCTAAGCTTTCAATAAAAAGAGGTAATATCACGTCTACCAGCTCAGACTTGTTGACTGCAACACTCAGTTCAGCAAATAGGCGTATAATATTAAGCTGTACAAAAGGAACTGCAGGTTTCTCTTGGTTGTCCTGGGAATAAGATTCCGTAAACAAGCAAATATTTTAAAACATGGATACATAAGATAAAAATAACATGCCTAAACTTAAAAAGATGTCAATGATTTTGGAGCACAAGAAACAAGTCTAACAAAACAGGAAAAACCTACCGACTGTATGAAAGAATATAATTACAAAAAATATTTATGAAATTGAGGGGAATGAACACTGAAGTATCTGAAGACACATATGCACTGAACTCCAGAAAATGTTGAGAATGTTTGAAATACCAAATCAACATGTATATCTGAATATACAGACATAATATTTTTTATATAGATATGCACAGGAAAAAAAAATAGAACAATGTTGACACGACCAGATATATATTTATTTCTATTTATTATCAGTTTCTGCATCACGAATATGTGAATATTAGTATATGAACCTGTTCCTGGTAATCATTCCGTTCACGTATGCTTTGGGCTAATCCCATGATGTATGTGTCTACAGGGGCCCGCTCCTTATTCCAGCAGGATTCAATAATCTGGCAGCTGGCCTTTGTGACACTCTCAAACATGGCTCCCTGGTTGTTGCTCCATGTATCAGGCTGCTACAATAACATTTTGAAAATATAAGAAGTAAAAAAATTCATGTAATTGAATGTCAACTAGAATGCAAGTTTGAAAAGAAAACGTCAATTGAAATATCATTCAAAAGTAACCAAACTGCACCTGAGCACAAACGTTAAGAACAATTGGCTTAAGGCGAATGAGCAAAATACGCAACGGCTGACCTCCTCTGGTGATAGCAATTTGTGCTACCCCAAGAAGCAAGGAACTGAAGAGCTCTTCACACGTTCTCAACTTCCGCCATCCAGATAGTAAGCATGCCTCGGCAGCATCTATCAATATCGCAACTGCCTCATAAACCAATCTCTTTACAGATCTCGAATCAGAATCCAGTGCCGAGAGGCTCTTGATTTTAAGTCTCACGGCAGCTCTATAAACTGACAGTTTAGTATTAATTCTTGCTTTCAGAAGTGACCCCTGCTCATGCCAATCCCTCTTCCTTATCTGCAAGAACTTGCCAATATTCAAGAACTTGCCAATATTGAAACATGCCTCACCCCTTTGATAAATCTAAATTTTAACTACATTCCCCAATCCACAGTGCGTAAACCAAAATATTCTCACGTAAACATAACAAAGAAAATAAATAAATAACACCGGGAGAGTAGTTATTAAGAAGTTTTACCTTTAGAAAAACAGAAATAGACTGAATCTGCTTCTTCCCAATTAACCTAACCTGCTCCAAAAGGGTAGGATCAATGTGAACCTTTTCCAATACGTGAGCAATCAACTTAAAAGCTATCTCTTGTCTCTCCAAGAACTCCACAGACTCTTCCTCGAAGGAAGCAACTTGTTGGCCAGACGAGACTCCACAAGGACCACCATCATTTAAACCCAAGTTCTGTGCCAACTGATCAGCATTAGTCCTCCAAATATGGTTTCCGCCATTCGTCATGGCCGACCCTCTTGAAGAGGCAGTGCTAGCCTCATCCATAGCCTTAGAAGCCGCACTGCTCGAAGAACCAGACACATTGCTCATCACTTCATTCACCGGACTGCCATTGTAATTGGTTTGAGATTGGTGGTTTACACTGAGGGGCGAACTCTGAGACGAAGAAATGTCAGAGTTTCCGGCAATGAGTTCCCCGGCGACAGGGATGATGGGGGCCGCAAATTGATCGATCAAAGAAGTCACCAATTTATCTGCATCCGAAGATGAAATTGGAAGAAAGTTCCGCGACAAAGCGACCAAGAAAGCCCTAGCAATGCCGGAGTGCTGTTCACCGATCGCCGATATCACTACTTCCCCGGAGAATCCGGCGACCTCCTCGGCAAAATCCGACGACAATTCGGTGGCTTTGGAGACGTAACCGAGGAAATCGACGAAGAAAGAGGTAACGTAATCGGCGCTAAAGGGGTGGGGCCAGAAGGATTGAGTGAAGGAATAGGGAATGGAGCGAAGGAACTCGACGGCGACTGACTTAGGCCGTAGATCGGTGGAATCGGGGCACTTGGACAAGAAGCGAGCGACGGCGAGGACGGCATTGAGCTGAGAGCGTGAAACCCTAGGACTTCCGGCCGATAGGTACTCCGGCGGTGGACATTTGTCGCATATCCATGAGAGTTTGTCGGAGAATTGTGATGGATTCTGCGCAATCAGGTCGCATAACTCGATCAAAGCTTCCATCATGATTTAGAGGCAAAATCCGAACACGAAAACGAAACGAGAGGAATTGCTCCCAATGAGGGATTCGTGTTGACAACGAAAGTTACAAGATGTGTGTGGCATTCAATTCTCTCTCTCTGCTAAGGATGCAGCAACATCGTTGCTGTTGTTCTCGTCATTGCCGTTGCCATTGTCATGGCATGCTTTGTTTTTCCTTTTTAATTTGTTTTTCTTTTTTTTTTATATAATCCCCGTTTGGCCTCAGATGATTTTAGATTCGGGTTTTGACTCTGTCTGGGATTAAAACTACAATTACAATTATAATTATAATTAGCTTTGGGATAGTGGGCACCTCAGCCTGCGTCCTGTCCCCTGTGCCTGTGCGGCACGGCACTCTCTCTCTCTCGCGAGTGGTAATGAATTTTTTCTTCTTCTTTTTTTTACATATTTTTTCTTTTTTTGGATAATAATGATAATGAATCTTTTCAATTCATATATATATATATATATATAGGATATATTTTTCTTATGTTGTAGGAAAAAAATTATCTCATATTGTAGAAATAAAAATATAAGTGGGACCCAGGGGTAAGAGGAGAGAGAAAAAGAGTGGTGGGACTCAATCCCTTTTTGTGTGTGTAGGAGAGTTGTTTATCTCATGTAAAATAAGATAAACATAACCCTATATATATATAGGGGTTTGATTTTCTCATGTTGAATGAGAATTCAATTCTCATGTTGTAGAGATAAAAAGCATGTGGGACCCATGTGTTAGAAAAAATTATATGTAGGACCCATGTTAACACAAAAATCGAAGGATGTGTAAGAAAATTTGAATTCTCATGTTGAATGAGAATTATAAAACCCATATATATATATATATATATATATATATATATATATATATATAGATATAGATATAGGTAAAATCATTTCTCCAGCCGTTTTACGTACAGCAACGACAGGTATATCGTTATGATTCCCCGCATTTAATGCTTTCATCCTTTGTATAATTATGATTCCCCGCATTTAATGCTTTCAAGTATATATATAGCAAGTATTTGTTTTTATATATATATATATATATATATATATATATATATATATATATATATATATATATATATATATATATATATATATATTTGTTCGCTTTTTCTAAAGTCAATGTAGATAATTTATCTACGTTGAGCCCAAAACTACGTAGATAAGTTATCTACATTGACTTATTTCGGGGTTATAATAACATTTTTTATTATAATTTTTTAATTTTTTAATTCAAAATGATGTTGTTTTGAGAGCGAATGTAAATAATCTTTTTACTATAGAAATATTGGAGTCAAATATATATATGGGGTAGAATGTTGTAACAACCAAGTATAGTTACTGCCAATGTTACTACCAATAAATTTCACCGTTAGATTGGTTAGTTTGATCCGACGGTTCAGATTTGATACTTATATAGCCCTTTTCTCTCAATTTCTCTCTCTCCTCTTCTCTCTCACACTATACTCTCTACACATAGTCGTCGTTGCTGCCCATCACCGTTAACGCTTCCTATCACCGCCACCGCGTTGTTGCCCATCGCCATCGCCACACCGCCCCTCTCACTCTACCGCCTCGTCGCTGCCGTTAAAAATCATGACTTCTTAAATAAATTATGGTTTATTTGATTTTGCCAATGGAGGCTGAAGGCCAAACTGCATTACCAGTTGTATGTTTCTTGTGTTTCCCTACTCCATGACTCGAGTGTTTAATAATTGTCCAAACTGCAGTGCCAAGTATAGTTACTATCAATGTTACTACCAATAAATTTCACCGTTAGATTGGTTATTTTGATCTGACGGTTCATATTTGATACTTATATAGCCATTTTCTCTCTCTACACGTAGTCGTCGCCGCTACACGTCACCGCTGTCGCTTCTCATCACCGCCACCGCGTTGTTGCCCATTGCCACCGTCGCGCCGCCCCTCTCACTCTACCGCCTTATCGCAGCCGTAAAAATCATGACTTCTTAAATAAATTAGGGTTTATTTGATTTTGCCAATGGAGGCTGAAGGCCAAACTGCATTACCAGTTGTATGTTTCTTGTGTTTTCCCGCTCCATGACTCGAGTGTTTAATAATTGTCCAAACTGCAGTGATTTTTTGCATTTTCTGCAGTGATTAATAATGTTCCATGACTCGAGTGATTAACGGCAGCGAAGAGGCGGTAGAGTGATAAGGCAACGACAGAGACGCGACGGTGGTGATGGGCAGCGATGGCGGCGGCGGCTATGTGTAGAGAGTACAGTGAGAGAGAGAAGGGAAGAGAGAGAAAGGCAGAAAGGGGCTATATAATTATCAAATCTGAACCGTCGGATCAAAATAACCAATCTAACTGTGAAATTGATTGGTTGTAACTATACTTAGTTGTTACAATATCCTATCCATATATATATATATATATATATATATATATATATATATATATATATGAGGTATGATCCTTTAACACCAGTGTCAAGTTTCAAATTTGACACCTCGTCTGAATGTCGATAGATCAAAAAAGATCAATGGTGTCACATGCTTACAAATCAGAGTCGTTGATCTTTTTTTATCTAAAGACTATCAGATGAGGTGTCAAATTTGAAATTTGACACTTGTGTCAAAGGATCCTGCCTCTATATATATACATATATATATATATATAAAGGAAAGTTATACTTATCGCCAATTAAGTTTATCATTTCTTATCACTAAATCTTAACCATTGATTTATATCAATCTAATGATTTTAATTTATTGGATGACACTTATTAATTAATTATTAATTTCCAATAAATTATAAACATCATATTGTCATAAAGTCGAGGGGAAGAAATAAGAAAAGCCGAGAGAGAGTAGAGGAGAAAAGAAAAGAGAAAAGGAGGAAAACAGAAACAAGAAAAAGGAAATCGAGAGAAGAAGTTAGAGGAAATAAAATGAAGATAATATTGAGGGATAAAAATTTTCTCTCATTTTTCTTCTTTTCACTATTCTTTTAAAGATTTTTAATGGTACTGTTACTCTGCCAAGTTTTTTTCTTAATTTTTTTTCTATTTAACTTTATTCTTACCTTTAGCTTTATTATTATTTAATTCTAAAGTCTTGTTTTTTAAAGTTAATTATTGACTAATGAATTATTTGGAACCAAATGAATATTAAGAGAATGTGTAAATTTTAACTGAATGATACTGCTGTGAACTGACCCATAAAGTTTTGGGTTCAAAAGGTTATAGGATAAAAGACGTCTTATCATAGCTTGAGCTCCGCCATACATAATCTTTCACATGCAGAGACCCACAAAATTAAGATTTAATTATCTTCAATTAAATATTACACAATTTGTTATTTATTATCTATGATATTGTTTCATTTTTATGAAATTACTTGGAATAATGGTATTTTCTGTTATTACGGCTCAAATAGTTATAGTTAGAAAACCTCAATATTACTAAGATTTATCTCATTTTGTTTGTTTTATGCTAACCTTTTCACATAACCATCGTGCCTAGTCTATACTTGTCAGACGAAGGATGGACCGTTACTGTTTATCTTTATGAAGACCGATCAGAATTTTACATAGTAATTGGAAACCAAGGTGTTGTAGCTATATTCTACTAGACAGTGTGGAGACTTATACTTATATAGGCTAGATTAAAATGACACTTATGTACTGTATAAATTTTGTAACCTTAAGTATTTAGTGATGTAATATATGTATGGGATTGATGTAAAATAGTTTAGGACATAGACTTTATTGTAAGATATTAGAATGTAAAAAGCTATGTACTAACTTAAATCCATGTACAAATAATAAAGGATGTTAGTATAATCAATCGATCTTCTTGAGCTTATTTTCCTCTATATTACTTGTTGTTATTATTGAAATAAAATTTAAGAAATAATGTGATATTCTCTATACTAGTTAGTTATAGAGGATGTTACAATTTTGCTTGGGGTTTATCCCCATTTTTAACCTCAATATATATATATAGGTTCACTTTTTTCTGCAGTCAATGTAGATAAGTCAGTCAATGTGGATAAGTTATCTACATTGAGCCCAAAACGACATCATTTTCGGATAAAAATCAAGATATTTTTGTAATTATAATTTATTTCAAAGTTATAATAGTCTTTCTCATTATAATTTTTTAATCTTTGAACTCAAAACAACGTCATTTTGGGAGTGAATATTGATAGTGAAACGTTAATATATATATATGTGTGTGTGTGGGGGGGGCAGGTTCTTTTTACACCAGTGTAAGACTAACAAGTCTTACATCACATCTCAATCGTTGATGGACGAAAATCATCGGTTGGTATTTGGGGACAACGACCAAATTGTCACTGTTTATACAAATTATTACCAGAATGCCACTACCCTAAAAATTGTTATCAAAGTGTCACGTCAGCAATCTCGCCACAACATGTGGGGAGTTAATATTTGCCACGTGGCAGCACCTCGTTGGCCATGTAACTAGTTGCGCAGTGCAACAAGTCTACGTGGCAGACAATCACTGCTGCCGTGGCTAACACCTGTTAAACTAGCTATGCTGCGTAGCTAGTTTACGTGGAACTTTTTTGACACCTGGTTCCTACCTAGCCCAGCAGTCCAGCGTGTTATGCTTAATATATACCCCCTCACTCCCCGTTCCATCCATCTTCTAATATAATTTTGGTTGAATTTTTGTATTTTACATCAGTGAGGGTTGCGTTCAAATTAGTTAATTTCTGTAGTTTTTTTTATTATTGTGTTGATTTGTTGTCTTCAGCTAATTAACAGTTCTGTGTTTTTTTCCAGCCAAAAGTGTTCAAAATGAGTGATGTAAATGATTCAGTAATTGCGTTACTTTATTACAATGGGAGAAAATATTTTGGTTCTAATGGGCAGGTTTTTGAAGGGGATACAAAAGTATTTCGTATGAGCCCGCGATATAGCTTTAATGAATTGAAGAAGACAATATACAAGAAATTAAGATTATAACGTGGTCAATCTCTGTCTTGCTTAACTGCTCGATGTGCATCGGGAAGAGGCGAACCTATGTGAGTTCAAGTGTGTGCAAGTGCACACACAAATTTTTGGGACAAAAAAAGAATAAAATATATAAAATATATTTTGGGTCATCAACAAAAATTACAGGATCCAATTTAATCTCTTAAAAAAAAGTT